CCTCTCAAAATGGTACTGGGCAGCGACGTATGGTTTCATGTTCGGCGTTGCTTTCGAAATGGTTAAAATTAAATGGCACCCGTTTAACATCAGCTTCTACGACGTTTTCATCAAGAAGCAGATGGAAAGGAAACTGGCTGCTTTTCAAGATATGGTAGAACAAGTTGCTGAAGTTGAAGGTAGTGCATGATAGATTATTTTTTCGATGCTTTTTATTGTACGATATTATTTTTCTTGATACCTTAATTGTTAACTAGTACAAATTATAGGTAACGAACAACTACTGTTTTCTTATATAACCCTGTGCACGTTTCGTCCATCTATTAATCTGTTCGTCCATTTGCAAAGACTCGTGGTTCTTTCGATTCACGGAAGCAGCAGCTTCAACAGGTTTTTTCAGTGGCCCTAGTGCTCCGCCATTCAGGCAGCTTCATGGCTGTATTCAAAAACAAGAGAGCACCAGCTATTCAGTCTAGCCGAGCCGTAGCCTTTGTAAATGCTGTGTTTCACATGTTTAACCTCATGTCTCTGTTGAAGAGAATGTACATTTATTAAGATTAGCGATCACATGCTAAAGCGAAGTACAGCGTACACTGTATTCCGTACACGACATGTTGGTTATAATGGATTTCTACACATCCGGAGCGCTTTATTACCGAAGCAGCGCTGCCTGAAGGTCGTAGATCTAGGTAAATCTGTCATATAAGGTTACCCCGTTTCCGGGCTCATGTAGAAGTAACGGTGACCATAGTCTGACTTGTTCTCATAAAGGTAACGTGGATGGGGGCTGTGTCGCAACACGTTTGTAGTTTGTTTACACATTAGAGGTGCCCGGTTCAAATCCTCAAGTACTGATTAAATGTTCTCTGACCTGTGGCCAACATTAATCACACTATTAGCATAAAAAATAATTTACCTAATAAATATATGAACAGTTGTTACCCAAATAGCTGTAAATAAGCAATTTTTGCAGACGATGACATGCGGTCAATGCGCAAAGCTATAATCAGATGAATGGATAGCGA